CTGGGCAGAGATACTGGAGTGGTTTGCCATTTCCTTCTCCAACTCATTTTCCAGATGAGGAAACTGAGGCCAACAGGGTGAAGTGACTTACCCAGGGTCATGCAGCTAGTAAGCGTCTGAGGCTAGATTTCATCTCAGGAAGATGAGTCTTCCTGACTCCTGCCCAAGCTCCTTCCACTGTGTCACTGGAGCTCATGGACTGGGGAAGGGGGTGACTGGATCAGACAGTTGTTAGATGTGAACAATCTCACTTATCAAGTTGGGAAGGAGAAAAGGGCTTCCCGCCATCAGATGAAATAAGATGTCCTAAGGTTGGCTGAAAACTTAGCTATGCCTCTGATACACCAAAAGACATCCTAGCATCTGCTTTAAGATTGAGCCTCTGGGACTCTGATGAGGCAGAGCCCTTAGGCCTGTCTGAGAGTTGATCAAAGGGGAAGGTTGGGAAAGGAGCTAGCCCACAGGGCATGGGGGATTGACTAAATGAGCTCAGCAGGGAGCTGTACACCTGTGGGCAGGAACTTTCTGGGGACTTCCATCCAAACAGGGTGAGTTGTCTAAAGTCCAGTGCCCTTTCCCCTGGACACTCAAAGTCCTTGTAGGAGAGTGGGCCACAGACTTTTTCTGGAAGTTAACCAAGTCTGGCTAATTGATATCGACCCACTAATCCGTGGGGAGCACACCAGTGGGAGCTCCTGTATGGCTCCAGATTCAGTTAAAGTTCTGCCTATGGGAAACGTACAGCGTTATGAATGAAAGAAATAAGAGCTTGTGATGTCCAACAGGCAGCACTGATCTGTCAAGCTAAAAAGTAAACCTTCCAGCCAGTTAACTTGCATATAGCCAGATGGCCCAATGATTTTCTGTTTGCACTCTCTGGATGTGCCCAAACTACATATGGGAAATGTACATTTGTGGGTCGACCACAGCTTTGTGTGGAGAAATTGCCAGGGATGTATTCAGGAACAGCTTTAGGACATGACAAGGCCCCCGTTCTGGACGGACACCTGATAACAGCCAAGCATGTGGAGGCGGAGGGGAGAAACCTTGTTGATCCTTCTCAGATGCTTGGAGAGGGCTGGTTCAGTTCATCCAGCTCTTCCCTCCCAGGGTGGCCGCACCATCCCTGTGATCGAGGCCAGCTGTCATCATCTTCCTTTCTGCTCCTTAGTTCCAGGGAGGAGAAGAGCCAGCTGCCAGTACAACTGCAGCTTCTCAGGACTCTGTCCCAGCCCCAGTACCACCCTGCTGCTGCCAGCTCTGCTCCTACAGCTCACTGGTGGTGCCGCAGTGGATGGAGCAGTGGACCTGGAGTCAGGAGGACCTGAATGCACCTCAGACACGGACTAGCTATGTGACCCTGGGCAAGTCACTTCAGTGCTGTCTGACTCGGTTTCCTCACCTGTGAAATGGGGAGAATAACAGCCCCTATTTCCCAGGGTTTTTGTGGGGGTCAAAGAGATAATATTTGTAAAGCGCTTATGAGGCACAGTGCCTGGCACGTGCTGGTTGCTCTAGAGATGCTTGTTAATGTATCGATCGATCGTTCCCGAGTCCTAAATTGAGTCCCCTCGTTGCTGTCCCTCCAGCTCCAGGAGCCATGTGAGTGATCTTTTTTCTCCCAGAGGCATGCTGCTCAGGAAGCCTCTTCTCTCTCTAAAAGGCCCAGTCTCTGAATTCTCAGACTCTGGTTACCATGGAGGCAATCCAGCAGACTAGCACTGCCTAGACAAATTCCCTTTTCTGTTACAAGACAACAATGTAGCCTAGCTGGGCTCATGCTTCCTAAGAAATGCTCCTCCTCTGACTAGGATTTAGGAACACTGTCCACAAGCCCCCCCTTCTTGGTGGCTGGGGGGTGGGGGAGGAGGGGAGAAGCTAAGTGTGGCTAAGCTCATGTCTGGTCTGCTCCTATCTGACAGGTGTTTCTGTGGCAACACTTGATACCACTGTCCTGGTTACCGACCTCTTTGACTGGAAAAGTGGCCTAACAGGCACTCTCCTCCCAGAAACAAATGGGAAGAAAGCTCTAGGCAAACACATGTGACTCCCCTGAGCTTCTGTCCTAAGGGAGACATGAATAATTGGGACCGGGGAGTGGGGGGGCCCCCTCTCGCAGTGAAATCTCTACAGACACTGCCTGCTCACATTCCATACACTGTACTCTGGGAGAAAGGGACAAGGGGAAAAGAGGCCCGTTCGGTCTGTTGGGTGACTTTTGTAAGCCATCAGAAAGGGCAGCTCCTCTCACCAAAGAGGGGCCATTCTCCCAAGCTTCCTGGACGAATGAGCCTTGTTGGGGCAGCCCCAGACACCAGGACCCACCCCCTAGGAGGTGCTCCAAAGAAACCCCTTCCCCTTGGTGCAGCCACAGCCATACCTGAGACCTCATCGCCCTCATAAGAAGGATCAAGTGAGTGCGCCCATGCCCCCCAGGAGGAGGTGTGTATCAAACACGGGCACACTGCTCTGCAGGCTCTTCAAGGTGAGTTCACGAAGCAAACTCCCTTGGCCAACACCCAGCCAGAGGGGACAGAGTCTCGGAGTTAAGTGACTTAAACAGGAAAATCTGTGCAAGGAGACCAGTCTTTAAGAGGGTGGGTGAGCCTAGCCAGAAGAGGCTCCAGCTGCTCATGGTTCTGTTCATTTCATGGTGCCAGGGTTCTTCTGATTCGCAATCAGTTCCCTGCCGGCCCTGACCCTGGCCCTGGCACTGGCAGGGGGCCTGCACCCCTGTGTCCTCCACTCTTTAGAGCCCCAATGTTCTTGGACTTTCCCCTCCCCTGAGAAGCTTCTGTGTCCCATGATGGTTTGGCCCCTCCTTCCAACTGGGAAAATGACCCAGGGCCAAGGGTTCAGTTCAGTCCAGCAACTCAACATCTGTCGAGCGCCCTCTAACCCTGTGGGCGAGGCACTGGGCTGGGGGCAGGGGTGGGTGAGGGAAGGTGACCCTGATTGTGGGAGAGGGAAGTTTAGGGCCCAACGACGGCTTGAGAGGGAGAAGAAGGGAGGGCCCGCTCTGACCTTAGCTCACACCTATTAGCATCCTTCTCACCCACTCATTCTCAGCCCTCTTCACATCTCCCTGCTCCTGAATGGATGGAGGCTGTTGGGAAGTGCAGTTTTTCCTCTCAGGAAGTTCTGGCTATCATAGCTATCTCTGATCTAATCCTAACTTCCTATTGTTCCTGCTTGCCCAACCCCTCCCTCCTCCTCAACCTAGTCTTCACCCTCCCTCTCAGCCAGGATACCTCTTAGCCATCTCCAAACTCTGCAGCCCCTAACTGTAGCCTTGCACATGCTGCATCCCCTCCCACCCTTTCCCCTCTTGCTCCTCTCTAGGGGTCGTCTTCCCCAGATGGGATGTCGGCACCTTCAGGGCACAGACTGTCTTGATATCTTGTATTTGTGACCCCAGCACTTACTGGGGGCACATATAAATATGTGCACATATAAGAAGCAATTCCAGAAATGCCTTTTCATTTCCTTACTCTTTCGGGCCATCCCCTCTGCTCTGTTTGACTTTCCTCCCCTCCCAATCTCTGTCATTTACTTGACCAAATAACCATTCTCTCTTTCTCTGTCTCTCTGTCTGTCTCTGTCTTTCTGACTCTCTTTCTCTCCCCCCTCCTCCCTGGGCCCATTAACCTCTTGTCCTGCTCCCACATACACACTCACTGCCTTGTCCAATAACACACAGACAGCCCCACCTCTACCATCCTGCAGGATTTGTTTCCTAGGTCTCTTGCGTCAAAATAGAAAGTCTTTTCCTTATGATCAAGTTCCTGGCCTTCAATCTCTCAAACTAACAGATGTTAGCACTTATTTTGTCAAAAGAGTTGCATCTTTTGGCATGGTCCCTACCCTCCAAGTACTTAATATTTAGGAAGCGATATAACACATCCACCTGTTTCAAAGTGTGGAAGACCAGTTTCTGTTTGGTGGAGAAGTGGGGGTAGAGCAGTCACTCAGTCCCTTGGGAATGATGCGTTCTACAGAAGTTTGTTATAGTTCTGACAACCATGGGCCATACAAGCAGCCATGCCCACGACTCCACCCTCAATTTCTACATCCTTGCTTCAGTTGATGACATAAAAATCTAATTTTGAGCTTGCTCTTCCATTTCCTTGTTTGTTCCATTGACACTAGATTGCTAATGGAGCTCTATCTTTAATCATGAATTCGTTAGTGGTTTTCATTTGCTGTCACAATTATTACTGGCTTACATTTAGCACACATTCACAAAATTCATATATTTCATTTGCATCAAAAGCATGGAGACTCAGTTTAGCACAACTCTAATCAAGGCCAGGTTTTCCCTGAGCACTATATGTTCAGTCCAACAGGACTAGATCAGCAGCATCAGTCCTGGATAGGAAGGGGAGAATAGAGGAATCTGGACAGTAGAAGAATCCAGACATCTAGACCTGACTCTCTATTTTCTCCCATTAAAGGAATGGAAACAACCCTTTTTCTCTCCAACTCTGCCCTGTCGGGCAGCCCCGTGTACATATCTACCATTCAGTGGAAGATTCTTCACTATGGTGGTTGCTCCTGGGCTGGTTTAAGAGGTAAGCAATAAGGGAAATGATCTGAATTCCCAGGACCTTCCCTGCACAGTTATTAAAACTGGGAGAAAGAAAATGAAGAAAGACCTTGGGCATGAGCACATTACCATTCTGGACAGACCTCAGTTTCCTCATTTATAAATTGCCCAGCTGATCCCTATAGCCCCTTCCCAACCTTGGTCCTATGAGCCCATGCTCAGGTTAAGAACTAACAGGAGAAGAAGGAAGAGTTGCCCACAACATTTCATGTTTAATAATTAAAACTTTACACTATCACCATTACAGGCAATGGTGATAGTCACAATCAGAGGGGTGCTTTGGTAGTGACACTTATTAGGGAAGACTATGCCCCCAGTTAGCTGGCAGATGGTTAATTTCAAAGGTTCACTGCTCTGGTGACATTTGTTCTCCTTCTTACAAGCAATGCTTGGGGTGCTACAGATAACTTTGACTTTGTCTAGGTTTTCATGGATAAAGGTATGCTTCACCTTATAGATGCTCTTGAGCTTCCAGGCTTTCTGGGCCATCATGACATTGCAGTCCCTTTTAAACTGGACCTGCCTCATCCTCCTCATGGGAGAGCTCCTCAGCCACTGCTTCCTCCTGACCCATAACTTCATCTTCTCTAAGAAAGGCCCCTGCTGATGATGACTCCATGGAATCCAACAACAGCATGTCATTCTCTCCAGCCTCCTGGGGTTCCATGGCTTTGGTGACATCCGTATTTTCAGCTGCCTCCTCCCTTGAGTCACTGTCCCAAAGCTGATCCAGTAGCTCCTGACTGTCCTCTAGGGTTGCTGGAGCCAACCAATGTCCCAACCCTATGCCCAGGAGCAGCAGCAGCACGGGGAAGATCTGGAGAACTGTCTTCATCTTTCCTATGGAAAAAGAAAGGTCAAATTGAGGGAGCTAAGGAGCGTGGTGAGAATCTCTTCTGAAAACACTTGCACCCCCATACTCTCCTTGTCTGGTTGTTTGATGTCACTCCATCTCAATTTAGGACAGAGTATCCATTCTTGCTTTATGCCTCAGATTTCCCTAACTCTTCCTCCTTTCCTGCTTTGCCTGAGACCTGACATTCCAGTTCTGTTCTCTCCCCTCCCCATTCCCTGTGATGTGATTTCATAGAAACAAGGTCTAATTGTGGCCCAATGCTTCTTGATATGACAAATGTCAGGGCTGGCTTGAGCTGGAAACAAACCAAATGGGAGGAGCTTTGACTTGGGCCACATGTAGCAGCAACCTCAGTGGGGCAAAATGGAAGTCATTAGGTACTCCCTTTGAACAGAAATGAACTGCAAGACCCTTAAATGGTAAGCCAAGGTTGTCCTACAAACACTTTTCTCGAATAAGAGCAAACTCCCATTCTAGTGAAAAGCCTGGGGGCTTGAACTCCAGGCCCCTAAGGAAAGGGCATAGCAGGTGGTAGAATCCATCAGCAAAGTGACTGTCCCTCCCTCTTGCCCCTGTCACTTAGCTCAAAAGAACTGCCCCCTCCAGGTGTTGAGACTCCTATAAGGGACTGGATACTACAAAGTGCCAGTGGGGAAGCAGCCAAACCTCAGCTCCAGGTAGAGGACTATAATGGGAAGCAACAGAGCATGATGGCAATCACTGAGCTATGATTCTGAAGACTCTGGTTCTGGCCCTTGCTCTGCCACTACTTTGGGCAAGTCATTCAGGCCTTATGGGCTACAGTTGCATCCTCTGCAAAATGAAAGGATTAGACTGGATGTCCTCTATGACCCTTTACAGCTGCCAAGAGTCTATGAAGCCCTTTTATGGCCATTGTCCTTGCTGTGGAATCTACTTATTCCTCCCCTTTCTCTACAACCCTCCCCCACCTCACTGTGGGAAGAAAGGCTCCCAGAAACGATGTCAGCCCCTGAGTCAAGTCTGGTATGAAGAGGATGAAGATGTCTGGTTTGACATGTCGGGGCCTTGGAGCTTTGGCAAGAGCTTAGAGAAGGAGGAAGAAGAGCAAAATGAAGAGGACGAAGAGGAGGAATAAGAAATAGCTCACACTGACATAGTGTTTTAAGCAAAGAACCTCACGTATGTTATCTCATTGGATCCTGACAACAAATAAAGTCCTGTCCCACCAATCTTTGAGCACACTCCCAGCCAGCCTTTGCTCCTACCCACACAAGTCTTGTGAAACTGGGCCACACAGACCATGGAAGCTTTCCAAATACCAAGAAATGGAAGAAGGCAGGTAGATCTGTTACATCATTGTTCCGCTCCTTGCTTACGCCCACAGCTCTGCTGCATGTAGATGATCTAAAGTTGGCCAACCGGATCTGAACATTTTCCATATCTCTTTTAATTATTGTTAATTTAACTCTTTCCTCAGGGAAAAGAACATGTCTAGTCTTCATTTGACTCAACTCTCCATTGTGGATATTTGGCTTTCCATTTCAATACAAATCATGCTTATGTTTAGATAGGACTTCTGTATCACATATGAATTTACACAGTCCTCTCATTAATACTGTCCCTACTTTCATGATCCTCCATAAAATTGATGAATCGTTTTTTCAATCACCAAATCAACAACCTCATTTCCATAATGCCATCCTGACTCTTCAAAACTAATCATTTGGCCCCAGATAAGAGAAGTTCCAAAACAGGATACCCTGTGCAGAGCCAAAATCACCAATGTTTTCCTCATGCTCAGAACAAGAGTGACAAAACTCAGTTGGACAAAACAGGATAAAAGCACCTTTGGATCAACTTGAAAAAATTATTGATCCTATGGGATGAAGACAACACCATACAGGAATCATCTAGTGATTGGCTGAGAGAAGTTAGAAGGGAACAGGCAGGCAAGACTTAGAGCAATTGTGAAGTGAGATCTCTCTTCAGGGGGAAGCAGGGATTTCTCTCCTCCTCTCCACACCCACTGGCCCTGTTGCTTGAGGTGGTGCTACTTGAACTGCAGGAGACTTCAGGAAGAAATCAAGGATTCCAGCATCTAGCCCCTTCAGAGTGAAGGTTTCCAACCAAGCTCCTCAGAAGGAGTCACTTGGGTTTGGGAAAGGGATGAGGAAAGCTCCTCAGCCTCAGTTTATTCTCCTTCTTTGCCAGACTAAGGTATTGTGAACTCCAGACAGAGAATTTGGATTTTTTGATTGGTGTCCTAGTCTTAGCACATGTGGTAGTATCTATGTCAGTGGCCAAGGATCAACTGACTGTGATGGGAAGAGTCAGATTCAATGCCTTGCAAGGCAACCAGCAGAACTACACCAAACCTAAAGGGAACAACATGAAGACATTGGCAAAAGGACTTACAGGAGCTGTGAATCACCCCTTGACTACATGTTCTCTCTGAGCTTGAGCTCACCTTCCCCTGGAGTCTGTATATACCAGTGGAAGAATGGATCGCAGACTTTCAGAGAGCTGGGGGATGGGATATTTGTGCCAACTTTTGCCTCCTTTCTAAAAGCTAAGTCTAGTTGACTGATATCAGCTGATAATCATGGGAGGTGGGGAGCACACAAATTGGGGCTTGTGAGCACGTTTATAGTTAGAGTCTGTCAACTGGACAGAGCCAGCCCTAACCAGTGGGTGGCTGGAGCTGAACAGAGCAGGCTAGAGACAAGAGAGTCAGGAATCAAACAAAAGTCTCATTTCAAAGGGAGGGAAAGGCTTACAAGCAAGGACCCATGTGTGAGACCCCACCTGGTGGGGAAGATCTGAATGTGAGGAGATCTCAATACTTATACCAATGGCTATGCAGTGAGCTATAGCCCTGACAGCAACAATACGACAAGTTTGATTCATAGCAGGCCTTCGTGACCAGAACACTGGTACTTGTCCGGTGCTTGTCTGAGCTCAGAGAACACCTGGTGAGCAAAGAAGTATTGTTATGGCAAGCTTGGGGCATAGCCTGCTTGTTGGGCTTTAGCTCTGGCAAACAGAGGGTCTCCTATTATCTTAACAAGGTAGTCATCATCTAGCTCCTCAGAGTTAACCCTAGGACTCTGAGGGGACATAGCTCCATCCCTTCCCCTAGGATCCAGACTTGCCAGGTCAAGTGGGAGCTGGGATAGTCACTCCAAAGCACATGCTATAGTCATATCTTTTTGGCAGCTGTGAAAAGGATAGGTTGGAGGCAGTGTGACTGGTTAAGAGGCTATTGCAATAGTCCAGGCAAGAAGAGAAGAGGGTATGTACTAGGGAGGCAGCAGTGTAAGTGGTGAAAAGGGAATGGATGTGAGAGATATTGAAGAGGGGAAATTGATGAGAATTGGGCACTGATTGAATATGGGGAATGAAGAAATGAAAAGAGTCCAGAGTGAATCTACCATCAAAAATCAGGGTTGTTGAAAGAATGGTGGTACTCAAGAGAAAGATAAAAGTAAGGAAGAGTGTTAAATTTTGAGGGAATTAAAATAAACACACTATATCTTCTTTGTTGTTGTTGTTCCCTTGTTTTTTCAGTTGTGTCCAACTCTTCATGAACCTATTTGAGGTTTTCTTGGCAAAGATACTGGAGTGGCTTGTCATTTCCTTCTCCAACTCATTTTACAGATGAGGAAACTGAGGCAAACAGGGGGAAGCAAACTTATGCAGAGTCACAGAGCTAGTATGTCTGAGGCCAGATTTGAACTGAGGAAGAGTAGTCTTCCTGACTCTGGGCCTGGCACTCTATCCACTGTATCAGCTAGCTGCCTGAACATATCTTCTCCTGCCTCATTAAACAAACAAACAAACAAACAAACAAACAAAAAAACCAGTGCTATTCTCCTCATTAATCCTATTTGGGTTTATTTGCAGTGGAGAATTAGAGCAGCATAATGAGTGGTCTGTACAGGGTCACTCATCCAGCCAAAGTGATCTTCAGACTGAAAGCTTTGGAGCTGGGATTGTAGGTGACTAAATATTAACTGGCCATTCCCAAACCCTAAATATGATCCCAGGTAAGTGGGCATCTATAGCAGGGCAATCATCTCTGTACTCTGGGCAGAGTAAGAATTAGTTAATCAGTCAACCCCAACCTTTTTTTTTTCCTGGAAGCTTGATGTCAAACAGGCTCTAATTTCACCTCTCTAACCCTAAGCAACAAGGTGGTACATAAGATAAAGCACTGGGCCCATCAAGAAGACCTGAGTTCAAGTCCAGCCTCAAACACTTACTAGTTGTGTAACTTTAAGCAAGTCATTTAACCTCTTTCTGCCTCAGTTTCATCAGCTGTAAAATGGGGATAATAATAGTAAGTAGCTCCCAGGGTTGTTGTGAAGATCAAATGAGATAATTTTTCTAAAGTTCTTAGTATAGTGCTTGGTACATAGTAGGCACTTAATAAATGCTTATTTCTTCCCTTCTTTACATCCATCCTTCCTAAATCAGATTTAGGTGGTAGGTAATGTTCACCTGCCCAAACTCTGTGCTCAGTTCCCTCTCCTCCAACCAAAAATGCTCTCAGGCAAAGAAAAAAAAAAAAAAAAAAAAATATATATATATATATATATATAATATATATATATATATATATATATATATATATACACCCTATGATCAGACTAATATTTACTAGCTTTTCCTGAAGCAGCTTCTTTCCCTCCCACCCACAGCATGAGGTAGGTCCAGATCCCTCCTCTTTGCATCTTCCAACAAATATGTTGTTCAGTTGTGTCTGACTCTCCATGATTCCATGGACCACAGCACACATCAGGCACTCCTATCCTCCACTGTCTCTAGAAGTCTGCCCAAGTTCATGTTCATTGTTTCCATGACACCTATCCATCTCATTCTCTATCATCCTTTTTTCCTTTTGCCTTCAATCTTTCCCAACATCAGGGTCTTTTCCAATGAGTCTCATCTTCTTTTTATGCAGCCGAAGTATTTAAACATGAGTTTCAGTATTTGACTTCCCAGTAAATAGCCTGAATTGATTACTTTAAGTATTGACTGATTCGACCTCCTGCTGTCCAAGGGAGTCTCAAAAGTCTTCTCCAGTACCACAATTTGAAAGCGTCAATTCTGTGGTACTCAGCTTTCCTTATAGTCCAACTCTCACAGCCATATGCCACTACTGAAAAAAAACGTACCTTTGACCTTTGTTTGGACCTTTGTTGGCAAGGTGATATCTCTGCTTTTTAGTCTGCTGTCCAGATTTGCCATAGCTTTCCTTCCAAGGAGCAAATATCTTTTAATTCCATGCCTGTAGAGATTGACTTTCCCTAAAAGAAGCAGAGACAAAGCTGTCCCCAGGGTTTCATTGGCTCCAAGGAAGCTTCCTGGATACCTAGAGTAATAAAAAGTCTCAGTCATGTGGAGTCTAAGCATCTCAGACTTCATGAGTGCCAACTGACCAGACACATTTCTAAAAGGAGGTGAGGGAGGCCAAGTTGCCAAAGCTGAAGACGTGCCATTGTATCCTTGTTCTATATCCTTGCTGTTTTAAGGTAAAATAAGCCTTTGTTTTGTTGACTGTTCAATGATTTATGAGTGCCTCATTCTGTCCCCAAATTGAACCTGCGTGTTGGTATTAGATCCACCTCTAACATACTTTAACATAATTTTAAGTCAAAGTGCTACTCCTTCCAGAGTTATTTGCACTTTACACTTTCTCCCTAATTGTGGGATTAAAAGCTTTGTCTTCTGGAAAAGGAAAAGAAAGTCAAGGTGACAGGAAAAAATAGGGGCATTTGGGGAGACTGGGTCCACATGTTAAATCGACAATGTCCAACATTAAGGCTATGTGAATAAACATTCAAGAAGGGCAGAAAGGATGGTTTGTTAAGACACAGTAATGGATGCTGAATTTCTATGTTCAGAGATTTATTAACTCAGAGGAGTTTTTATATTATATAGCTTCATTTCTTTTAGTATCCACTGGCAAACATGTACAGAGACTCACTTATACATAGATTCAGACACTTGTAGATGTCACAGTATACAGTATTTTGGGAGAAGGGTGAGAAGGGTGGGGCTTACTTAAGCTGGGACTCTTAGTTCAGGTTTGATGTTGGTACAAAAAGAGGTAGTCATGGGTCATTCAAATGTTAACATAAGGGGGCTTATTTAGTAACACCATAGAATGGATATTCAACAAAGATACTATAGGGCTTCAGTTGGGTCGATGTATTCCCCCCTTGCATCCAAGTGGAAATGTGCTTGGTCATGTGCAGGGCAGGGTGTGGTGACTCACAAAGTTTTAGGGCAACAGCCAAGTCTGAAGGTCCCTTGACTTTACCTGGGTGGGCCTTTTATACCCTTAGGTGTCCAGAAAGGCACTTCAGAGAGCCAGAGGTTACCAGGAAGTTGCATCAAAGAAGACGGCTTGAGCCTTAGCTCTCTAGACCAGTCAAGTCCCATGTATGGCTTTGTCATCTTTGTGGGTGGGGTGAGTGGGAGAGACTAGCTTCACTGTGTTGGGCAATTGTGGGGCTACCCTGGTGGATAATGGTCCTATCACAAGTAGAGGGGGAAGGATGAATATCACATCTCTGGTGTACCCAAGCCCTCTCAGTCAGGAGAATGCCATTGATAAAAGAGTTATATTGAGGAGGACTTGTCTGGGGTCTGATTCTTTTGAATGCACAGGCTTTATGCATTAAAAGTAGCCAAGTTACCAGTTTCCCTTAAAAGTAACCAAAATTGTCAGTCTCAAAACATCAATCAATCAGTCAACAAATATTCATTAAGCATCTACTGTGTTTCAGGCACTGCACTAGGAACTGAGAATACAAAGACAAAAGGGAAGAAGTCTCTTCACTCAAGGAACATAATAAGCTAAGAAGGGGAGATGCTGTGTACATATATGGTTTTCTAGAGAACAGATACATGATACATTGAGAGGGAGCAACAAGACACTAGCAGCTGAGGGACAAGGACTGGCTTCACAAAGAAGGTGGTGGTTAAGCTGAGCTTTCAAGGAAATTTAGGATTCCAAGAGGCAGAAGGAGTGTACTCTAGGTATGAGGAGCAATGAAAGTAAAGGCATGGAAAAGAGATGGAATGTGGTATTTTAGGGCAGTTAAGATGTCTAATGTGGCTGGGCTATAGGGTACATGAAGGAAAGCAATGTGTAATAAGTAAGGCACAGAAAATAGTTTGGGGTCAGAGTATGAAGGGTTCTTAAATGCCAAAGAAAGGTGTTTATAGTTGGTCTTTGAATAGGAAGCCACTAAAGATTACTGAAGAGAAAAGAGACAGTCAGACCTGCACTTCAGGAAAGTCACTGGCAGCTCTGTAAAGTATGGATTGGGTTGTGGGGCGACTGGGGCAGGGGAACCAATTAGATGCCTATAGCAATAGTCCAGGTGAGAGGTGATGAGGAGCTGAACTAGACTGGTGGCTTTTTGAGTGGAAAGAATGGAATCGAGAGATGATGGGGAGGTAGAAAGAGCTAGATTCATCCCTTTATTGAGTATGTGGGATAACAATGAGGAGATGTAGACAATACTCATGTTGCAAACCCAAATGACTTGTAAGGGTGATATTGCCCTCGACAGAAATGAGAAAGTTTGGAAGAAGGATGGTTTGGGGGGAACATCATGAACCCTATTTTGCACACATTGAGTTTGAGATGCCCGAAGAACATCCAGCTGGATTACAGCTCAGAGGAAAGACTACAGCTGGATTTATAAGATGTGTGAGTCATTTACATAGAGATGATAAATAACCCATGGAAGCTGATGAGGTCACTCATAGAGAGAAAGAGGGAATATAAAGGGAGAGGGGAAGAGGGTTTAGGATGAAGCCTTGGGGGATACCCACAACTCAGGAATATGATATGGATGATAACAAGCAAAGGAGCCTGAGAAAGAGCACTCAGACAGGTAGGAGGCAAGCCAAGAGAGATGAACACCACAAAAACTCAGAGGAGACAGAATAGCCAGGAGGAGAGAGTGGTCAACAGTGTCAAATGCTAGCAAGAAGATAAAAGGATGATTGGAAAAAATGGCCATTCAGGTTGGCAATTAAAAGATAATTAATTGGTGACTTTGGAGGGAATAGTTTCAGTTGAGTGATGAGGTCAGAAGCCAGATTGCCAAGCACTGAGGAATGAGAGAAGAGGAAGTGGATGAGAAGAATACAAACAGCTTTTTCTAGAAGTTTGACTGAGAAAAAGAGAGCTTGAGAGACTGGTAAGGTTTGTTTGGAGTTGACGAATGAAGGATACTTGGATATGTTAATAGGCATCGAGGAAATGCAGTAGATAGGGAGGAATTGAAGATTAAAGGATTGAGGTCAAGAGGTTTGATTGAGGGGTCTATTTCCAAAAGGAGCTTGAGGAGGGTACCAAGGGTATGTGTAGAGGAGCTGGCATCTTTGAAGAGAGGGACCACCTTTTCATCAGAGTATAGTGTAAAAGAAGAGAGAAAGGGAGATGATGTCAATCAGATTTTTAAAAAAGGAGAGAATAGGAGAAGGAGCTCACTGACTATGGCTTCAATTGCCACATTAAAGTATGCGGCAAGGTCCTCAGCTGCCATGTTTAAGGGAGGGTTGCCATAGGGAGTTTACAGAGCACAGGGAGTATGATGAGACTCAGGCAGCATGGTGGCATAGCATTCCCCAGCCGAAGTAATATAGGACTGGCATTTGAAAAATCATGAGTGACAACTGCACAAGGGAGGAAGGGATTCAAGAGCAGAAGACAGTTTAAGGTTATTTGGTCAAGTAAATGACAGAGATTGGGAGGGGAGGAAAGTCAAACAGAGCAGAGGGGATGGCCCGAAAGAGTAAGGAAATGAAAAGGCATTTCTGGAATTGCTTCTTATATGTGCACATATTTATATGTGCCCCCAGTAAGTGCTGGGGTCACAAATACAAGATATCAAGACAGTCTGTGCCCTGAAGGTGCCTACATCCCATCTGGGGAAGACGACCCCTAGAGAGGAGCAAGAGGGGAAAGGGTGGGAGGGGATGCAGCATGTGCAAGGCTACAGTTAGGGGCTGCAGAGTTTGGAGATGGCTAAGAGGTATCCTGGCTGAGAGGGAGGGTGAAGACTAGGTTGAGGAGGAGGGAGGGGTTGGGCAAGCAGGAACAATAGGAAGTTAGGATTAGATCAGAGATAGCTATGATAGCCAGAACTTCCTGAGAGGAAAAACTGCACTTCCCAACAGCCTCCATCCATTCAGGAGCAGGGAGATGTGAAGAGGGCTGAGAATGAGTGGGTGAGAAGGATGCTAATAGGTGTGAGCTAAGGTCAGAGCGGGCCCTCCCTTCTTCTCCCTCTCAAGCCGTCGTTGGGCCCTAAACTTCCCTCTCCCACAATCAGGGTCACCTTCCCTCACCCACCCCTGCCCCCAGCCCAGTGCCTCGCCCACAGGGTTAGAGGGCGCTCGACAGATGTTGAGTTGCTGGACTGAACTGAACCCTTGGCCCTGGGTCATTTTCCCAGTTGGAAGGAGGGGCCAAACCATCATGGGACACAGAAGCTTCTCAGGGGAGGGGAAAGTCCAAGAACATTGGGGCTCTAAAGAGTGGAGGACACAGGGGTGCAGGCCCCCTGCCAGTGCCAGGGCCAGGGTCAGGGCCGGCAGGGAACTGATTGCGAATCAGAAGAACCCTGGCACCATGAAATGAACAGAACCATGAGCAGCTGGAGCCTCTTCTGGCTAGGCTCACCCACCCTCTTAAAGACTGGTCTCCTTGCACAGATTTTCCTGTTTAAGTCACTTAATTCCGAGACTCTGTCCCCTCTGGCTGGGTGTTGGCCAAGGGAGTTTGCTTCGTGAACTCACCTTGAAGAGCCTGCAGAGCAGTGTGCCCGTGTTTGATACACACCTCCTCCTGGGGGGCATGGGCGCACTCACTTGATCCTTCTTATGAGGGCGATGAGGTCTCAGGTATGGCTGTGGCTGCACCAAGGGGAAGGGGTTTCTTTGGAGCACCTCCTAGGGGGTGGGTCCTGGTGTCTGGGGCTGCCCCAACAAGGCTCATTCGTCCAGGAAGCTTGGGAGAATGGCCCCTCTTTGGTGAGAGGAGCTGCCCTTTCTGATGGCTTACAAAAGTCACCCAACAGTCCGAACGGGCCTCTTTTCCCCTTGTCCCTTTCTCCCAGAGTACAGTGTATGGAATGTGAGCAGGCAGTGTCTGTAGAGATTTCACTGCGAGAGGGGGCCCCCCCACTCCCCGGTCCCAATTATTCATGTCTCCCTTAGGACAGAAGCTCAGGGGAGTCACATGTGTTTGCCTAGAGCTTTCTTCCCATTTGTTTCTGGGAGG